GCTGCTGCTGCTGCTGCTGCTGCTGCTGCTGCTGCTGCTGCTGCTGCTGCTGCTGCTGCTGGTGGCGGTGCTGCAGCAAAGCTCTAACAGGAGCAACCCCCGTCCCCGTCGCAATAATAAGAAGCCGAGAAGAAAGAGAAAATAAAAAAGAAGGAAACGCAGAAGGTTGAATAAATACAGGGACGAATGAACCCACCTAAAAAAAAAAAAAAAACAAAACCACTAATTAGGGTTTAGGGTTTAGGGTTTAGGGTTTGTGGGTACTAAGGAGAGTAAAGAGAAAAAAAAAAGAAACAAACAGATGTATATACACTCGGATTCTAAGACAAATACACCGCAAATGTAAAAACACAAGGGTTTAGGGTTTAGGGTTTAGGGTTTAGGGTTTAGGGTTTAGGGTTTAGGGTTTAGGGTTTACCTGAGCTGCAGTGAGATACTTGCTGCAAACCCCAAAACATTTTCGTAGAGAAGAAGTTTCGTGCTCAACCAAAGCAACACACAGTTCTACAACCAGTGCTGCTGCTGCTGCTGCTGCTGCTGCTGCTGCTGCTGCTGCTGCTGCTGCTGCTGCTGCTGCTGCTGCAGCAGCTCATCAGCAGCAAAAGATAAAACTCTATTTATTGTATCCATAGAAAACAAGTTTAAAGCAGGACACCGCCAACGGCTGATGAATGAGGACCCCAGCAGCAGCAGCCCCCCAGCAGCAGCAGCAGCAGCAGCAGATGTTCCTGCTGCTGCTGCTGCTCCTCCTGCTGCTGCTGCTGCTGCTGCTGCTGCTGCTGCTGGGCTGTAAGCAGCTAAGGAGTACTTTCGCGGCTCCAGCGGCATTAAACTGCTGCAGAGCAAATCGAGGGGAATCAACGGCTCTCCTGCTGCTGCTGCTGCTGCTGCTGCTGCTGCTTCTGCTGCTGCTGCACACTCCCTGCCATCAGCAGCAGCACCAGCAGCAGCAGCAGCAGCAGCAGCAGCAGCAGCAGGCTCGTGGATGCAGAAGTCCCAAAAGGTATCGGCTATGTCTCTTCTCTGGTC